AAATATGATATACCTACAACAACATAATAAATTACGCCTTCAAAAATCGATTATATCGCCACTCGATCGAATTAATTAACATTAATAAAAATCTCGTTAGCAGCCCTACGTAACAAGGTGTGCGGTCAAACAGACCCTCACTTTTAATTATCATTTCACACGAAGCTTTCTTATACGTATTTCAAAATCGAGTGTGTCACTTAACCCGTTCGCTGCGGGCTGTCCCGAGCCACCGCGTTTGGTAACGGCCGGCCATTTATGTCCAGCCCGGTATGGCAGCCGGCCCCGCGTCGCCATATATGGGCTCGAGAGTTGCATTCTGCGCTTGTAACGCGATACAATTGTGGTAGAACTTGGAAATTAATTTACAGCGCTCACTGTCGGGTGCAGCATCCATATTCGGCGAGATAAAAAATAGAATACTTAGTACCCGCTTCAGTGGCTGTTTACCAAATTGTTAAAACCAGTTTCTCTTCATCTGTTTCCAATATTTATTCGAAGAAGGTTGACTCAAATGTGCACCTTTCTTATCATAACAGTGTTGTAAAAACAGCTATTAACGATTTGACGAGCCACTTATTACGAAATGTTCGCAGCAATCAAGCAGTCGATAGTATCCGAGCAGTTGACATCAAATCGAATCAACGCTATTTCTGTTATTACTATCATAAAAGCACTCAAGTGTCGGGAGCGAGATCACTATCTAGTAAAGTAATATCCTTTTCGGCTAAGACCTACTGAACCTCTTATTGTCGTAAGGAAACTTCATATGGAAAAAAAGTTATGTGGTCTTGTCAGTCTGCGGCGGCCATAAATCATAGGGGGAGTGACGTTGAGACATATATCTACTTGTTGATCTAACTAGTACGACGTTAGAATGTGTACAATAATGATATTCAGCTAAGAGACGAGCTAGGAACATTTCCGCGAGTGTCACTCAATAGTTATCTTAGTAAGTTATGAACTCTTGCAGATGTGTGTCTTCGCGTGGTGACGTTGATTTGGAATACAGCGTCCTCATTTTGCCAAAAGTAACAAATGTAATATGTGAAAAGTTGTGAAGTCCGCAATTGTGTACCGCGGTTCATAAAGTCGCCCGACATGGGTGTGGTCGGACCACCACATATACTTTATACATTGCGATAAAGGAGATAGGAACGATAATTCCTTATACAGACGGTTGTAAAACCAAGTTGATAATTGAGACGACTCCCATATTACAGTCGTTGCATGAATAATTTGTTTTCGCAACATTTCGTTGTACTTTATTAACAATGTGAGTACTTGGGCATGCCATTAAGATCACGAAAGCGATTTTGGCTCTTAACACGAAGGTCATAATTTAAATCATACTTTAAGTGAACCTTAATGATCTTTATCAACATCATGACGACACTGCTGTTATTATTGTTTGACATATGTAACAATTTAATAGTCGCATATATGTTTTCACCGTGTAATCTATTCCTGATATATCAAATGCAGCAAAATACCTTTATCAAACATGTATACGTCAGATTGACGCTATTTCCTGCGTATCACAAGTGCCAATAACACGCAGCCTGCATTCTCACCGCCGCCAATCACCAACTTGGAGTAACACTGATACTGATAAACTTTGACATTTTATCACTAGAGTGCACAATTATATTGATACGTAAATTTTACAGTTTCATTGACCGCTCCTGATTTATATCGCTATTTATGCGGTTGCAAAATTTATGACGCTGCGTCATTACATTTATAAATAGGCAGCCGATTGAAGAATAATGTACAAGCGTAGTTTGTTAATTAAAGCTCTTGTTTTATAGCAAAATAAATTAAACATACTATTGTTTACTTAACGCCATACCGTTTAATGAAAAAGGCTACAATTCCCTAATCGTAAACGAAATGATATGCAAACAATTCTCTGTGTGAATTAATTGCTCAAACGTAAAATAAGGTTCATTAAAAGAATCGAAATTCAACCCTCGTTCGCTAAAACGTCACGAGTCGTTATAATTAAAAAGTAAAAATGACCAATTAACTAGGCGGGTGTATATTGAAAGTCCTATTTTTGGAGAGTCGTGATCTTATCGTACCGATCGGCTTCCGATCTGTCCGGACACGTGCGACGAATCACGACTAGTGACTCACGACGCGCGCTTTGTCGTCAGTTTTTGTCGCAATAGTTATTTATTGGTGTCGTGATCGGTCCGCGCGCGGTCACGCTCGCGTTTGAGGGTTAACTTGCAACGGATTGTTTTGATGTTACTATTCAATAAACTGTTTGATTTATTTGAGCTTTATGGCGCTTCATGGTCGTAATCGTGAATTGGTCGTTTAGACCACGATCAATGCAACACAAAGGCGGGCAGGCGAGACAGACAATACATGTGTTGTGTCTATATTGTTCCAATGTTACGAGCACGATTTTTCGTAACTTTGTTCTACAAAAACAAAGGGGGTGAAGATTATTAGCAAACAGACATTCCCACCCCGCACGAGGGAGTGTTTATTGCCATATTTTTAGAACCCACTTTAAGTGTGCACTTCAACCTGCCTTCATTTTTATGAGAAAAGAGAATAAATGAAAACTAAGTACTTCACACTTTGCCTGTCTCGCAATTTTATTAAAGAAGGGGATCTATTTTACTTTTTATATACAAATATACTTCTAGACAACTTCAGAGGTAATACCCACACATATTTGCCTAAAAATAAAAATATACAAGTAATTTATACATGAAAACAAAAATATGTATACGAAAAAGCAATTCTAATTGAACGTCATAATAAAACCATCAAAAGTTCCATCACACATTTCAACAATCTACCACGATACGCGTGCACGGCGCGATAGAAATGAGATGATGCGTCGAAAACTCGAAATGTTTTCATAATGGTACCTCGACGTTTTTCTAAAGAAATTCACTCACCCTCGATATCGAAAAGATGCGAGTTCATAGAGCATACACAATGAAATAATAAATACTACGAACCCCACGTCTGGTCGTGGCATAAGTTATTTTTACACAAATACTCGTATGTGGAAATCGACGAGTGCAAGTGCCTCTAGGCTTTTTGTTGTTGGCGTAAAATGTTCTTCTTTCTTTATCTCCGTCTATTTGGACGTGGTAAATATGTTCTGGGAATAAGTTATTGGTGTATAGGTAATACACGAAAGAGGTTCCTATAAAATATTATGCTATACAACTTATTTCGTTCTTATGAAACGATACGACATTAAAGTTGGTATTTAGCAATATTTTCCAGAACTTTTTAAAAGTTAAGTTTTCCCGAAATCTTACTTGTGGAATTAATATATATAATAAAAAATAATGATAATGTGAGTTTGTAATTCTTTCACGCAAAAACGGCTGGAGCGATTTTGTTGAAATTTTTACATGGATGATACCCTGGATTAACACAGGATACTTTTTATCAACATACCACGCGTGTGAAGCTAGGCAGATGTAATAAATTAATCAATACCTATTAAAAAAATAAATATAAATAATAAACATAATATTTAAACCTAAAACGAATCCTTATATAAATATTAAAAAAAGTATCTAAAAACAAGTCCCTAAATAATTATATTTATTTCGTCATAATAAAAATGTATGATAGGTAAATAACACATTCATTTACAAACTAAATATTTTATTGAAACAAAAAGGTTTTACTGTGAATTACTCATTTATTTTTAACTAAAACATAGTAATGTTTGAATTGATTGTTATCGTTCGGTGACACAAAAATGATGGCTTCCACTAAAACATTGATTCTACTAACGAGCTACAAAACTCTTCGAGTTAGGTTATTATAATTGAATAGACATTTTTGTTTATTGATTTGTAAATTTATTTGGAATATGAATGCCTGTTGTTTATTTATTAGAGATAATTTTGTGTGAAATAAAGATAAACACGTATTGATCAAACGAATTCTAGTAGACAGTAGACAAGCGGGTATTAATTACCTTTCTTAAGTATATCTGAGGAAAAAATTGTTGCTGTCACTGTCTTATACAAACATTCTGACGTGACAGCATCATAATTATTCCCCATGTGACTTTTATCTAACCATTGAAAAATCAGCCCTAAAGCGAATGTTTCTAAAGTCATATCAAAACTTAAACCGAGAAACTTTTTGTATATTTTTTGTTTTATTTTTTATTAAATTTACTTTATCATTCATATTTTTTGCCGTCTGTTCCAAAATATCAGCAGAACGAGTCTTGGTACTGTCGCGCTCAATCTAATTACAACATTATTTATTCAACCGTGAATTAATTAAAGCAATTACTGCTCATGGCGAACTTAAATCGTAATAATAGACGTGTAATGAACGAATTTAAATTTAAAATACAATCAAAGTGAAATCGTTTTATCCGACGCGACGCATCGTTTTACATGGGTACGTCAATTAATTTTAAACCGTTGTATATTCTGCAAGGGAAAATTGTTGGTATTAAAAGTATAAAAACGGAAAATTGAACACAAAGACCATGAACCCTATAAATCTACAAACGCGAGTCTAAAATGTTTTGAATTAGTATCGTGTGTTGTCGATATGTACGTGTATCGACATAGAAGGGAGGTGCTAAATGGTACAAAATTTTAGTCGCTCAGACAGAGGCCGGGCAATTAACACGTGCCCACCATAAACCCGTTGCCATGACAACGCGCGCTTTCGGCACACAACGTTAAACAAACTAATTGGCTAGCGCTTTTGTCAGCGGCTGTACCAGAGTTGTGTGAATGTAAAATGATGAATGATAATAGTGGCCATATTGATGAATGAATATTTTATGGAAGGTTGGAACTTAAACACCTCTTTTTAATAGGTTTGTGCTGTAATTCTGTATATTCGTCCTTTTGTGTCGTTTTCCTATAAGGTGTAAATGATTTGAATGTAAACGTTCAATTTAATGTTTTGAATGTAAAATAACATCATTATCGAAATTAAAACCTAAAAGCTCCAGTATTAAATATCAATTTCCTTTGTTACAGGAATGCTGAGGTCCACATTCGACCGACCAGACCACGAACGTAAGTACAACAGAACTTCGAATACACAACATTATAACAATCCAGTTGAATGTATGAACGATTCGAAGGGAAAACGAAATCGGAAAAAAAATAAAGGTACGGTGGAAAATTTCACACAAAAGGCTTCCGACTGGCGTAATAGCTATCAATTTTTTTCCATTCCGCGGACGCAGTATTCAAGAGATCAGTCACTTTTACACGGTAGCCCATCTGTCACTACCATTTGTTCCATTGAACTGTTCCCGAAAGAATATAACGAGGATTAAGTGTTGAAAGAATTGAAATAATACGATACCTACAGACGGCGCCGCGGTGGTTCCGTTTGATAGTTTAGGAGAGGGATTATTTTTTGCAATAGGAATTCGTTGTTATTTATTTAATAATTGTGAGTTATGATGATATACGTACATTAATTTGTATATTATCTACAAATTAACTTACCCGATACATTGAATCAACATAGTCAGCTCTAGATAATAAACTTTCATAATCTATACCCATCCAAGCACATAATCAACACACACATATAGTACCACAATTTAATCAAACAAAAGATACAATCTTCGTTTACATCCCACAAACAAAGCTTTCGTTCACCGTCAACGAAACACGTTAGTTTCGATAAGATTACAGCTCATCCGTCAACGTCACTGTCATAATTTTCGATCGCTTTTAATACGAGAACCGATGGTAGGGGGCGAGATAAATAATAGCACGGTTTACTACCAAACAGAGTCGCAATTCGTCGCATAAATCAATGAATTTACACGTTTCCTGCTGTTCCATATAAATATTGTGTGCGGATAATATACATACTTGTCATATATGGGAATCAAGGGGACTTTATTGCTTTAAAGTATGAAAAACTGCAGGCAATAACGAACTTAAAATGTAACTTACATATTGTAGTTTCGACGGTAAACTACAATAGGAACCGTTAATTTACCGTCGTTCAAATACTGTCCTTATAAAACTAAGATTAAGGTCTACAAGAAAAGTGGCATAATTTCGTGCATAGGTACTAGGAGATCAGAAAATATATACAGCTCTAATAGTACCTACTATGCTTAAAAGTATTGTTACGCAGCCACAATACTGCAGTGAATATTTATTTAAAACTCTGCGTCTAGCCAGCACTAGCACTACGTATTAATTTATTCATCCCTACAACTAGGCAGGCTTCTTTAGCAAAAACTTCTACTTTTCCACACAACTTTGCCGTACTGGCTACTTTTTACAAACTTTGACCGTTCATGCATTAACAGTCTTATTGCGAAGTATTAAGGTTCATTGTTGTGAGCTTAACATGTATTTAGAAGTTGGACTGCTAGTAATTATGTCAGAATGATTGATATTTTCAAGTATGGCGAGTTGGAACTTTGTGTAGCTATTTTTATTTTTGCTTATAATTCATGCATGTCTTAGTTTGTGTAACAAGGCGTAATCATAGCAAGTTATGCGGACTTCTTTGAGAAGTTGCTTCATGAAAATAATCTATTATGTCTTTAAAGTTGCATTTATCTCAAAAGTTTCTGAACTACATACTTCCTAGGATTCTGATGTCAAAATAGGAAAAATACTTACAAATTATTATTATTAAAAAAGCTTACATTCGAGATAGGTGTCAATCTTTTTAGACTTCGTTCTTTAACAATCAAAAGAAGATACTGGTTGGTTACGATAAATGCCAAAGACAATCTGTTTTCTGGTCCGCCAGTCGCACGGCTTCACATTGTATATTTTGTACGTAATTATATTTCGTGATAGGTCAGTGCCGGTGCTACAATATATATAAATACATACACATACATAGGTATATTCTTCATTTTCTTATACGTATTTTCTGTTTGATAATCTCAACTTTTTCGCAATAGTGGTAGACAATAAAACAGATAATGTATGTATTTGTTTATTATAACTTCATGCGCAAAAAAAATTACGTAAGGCAGACTTAATGCATTGAACATTCTCTACCAGAATTTAATTATGGTCGTGTTAACGTAATCTTGGTAAATTATTTTAAAATGTAAACGGAAATGTACAGTGTAGCATTTATTGATATATAAATTGGCAACTAAACACAAACAGCAGACTGCGAGTGTACAATTAAATCACTTCAATTCCTCCCATGGGGAATAAAATTTTGAGATATTAAATATTATTTTCAATTTCAACGAATATTATACTTATATACTCAAGTAGGTTTGTTTGTATGTTTTAATCCGTTAATCCTAAAATTTGTTGAGGTACGAAGAAGGACAATTCAAGCAAGCAAAAAACAAACTCACATCCACACTTCTACCAAGATTGTGTTATAAAATAAATCAGCGTGTTAAAAGTGAGTCTTGTTTTCATTAAAATATATATCCGCCTTAGGCGAATTACCTAACACCTGGGTAAGTTAGAAACTGGCGCAAACTCCTCACGCTAAACACGAAACTTTATGTTGAAAATCACCAACTTGGTATCTAACTAGTAAACAATCGCTTCGAACGTAATTTGCCGATTATAGTGTAATGGGCTCACAGTTAGAAGGATTCTTGGCGAGTTCCATCTTGTTTGTCGTTTTCCATTTAGCAAAACTATGTTCCACTGTGTTAATTACTCCTCGGTCTATTCGCTTTGGTATTGTTGATAGAAAAACGTGCGGTTGTCTTGTATATTGTATTGGTAATGGATTGTTTGATATGAGACTAATAACTAAGTAAATAAATTGTTTCCTACTAGTGCTTTTCTGTTGTCGTATTCAGGTATCACGTAGATTGTAACCAATATTTGTTTTGTGAAGAAATAAAAGAATGTTGTTTCACAAATCAGTAACAATTGTTCGCGCGCCTGATGGTTTTTTCAGAGCAACAACTTACGCTCATGAAATGTATAAATTATGAAGAAATCTGAAAATTACCCCACTTGCTATACTTAACTGCTGTAGTTAGCACCCATTAAAGTTTATTAATTTAAAACCGTGTTCGAGTATATTTTTCCTGAGTCCATCCACATCAACCCTGGTTCCGTACATGGTCCGTATCGAGCCTGATGACCCTAACTAAAGAGAAGATCAGCGATTTTATTTGAAGAAGAGGAATCAAGTACTGAAATTTTCCACCGTGACGTGGAGATTTGCCGGTGGATTGGATTGAGTTCGAACAAATGGTTTTAGCGGTGTACAGTATTTTATGTAACTAATATATCATCACCCAACACTCAGGTAGTATATAAGTAAATTATATTTAAGGTCAGTAATATTTATTTTATTACCTATTCTTGTATTTGTTTGATCATTAGAATCATTAGATATTCTGTTACATTGTGATTAGTATTTTTAACAGTAAATCTTAAGTTTAAATTATACTCACTGCAGTATAGTTAGTTAATTGCTACATTATTTAAACTTAATTTAATCAAGGCTGTAACTAATTCACATAGTTTTATAACTACTTAGTAGATGTAATTATTAGCAGGTATCTCGACATAATATAAATAATTTGAGTGTTATATATTAGTGCAAGTCATTGTAAAAATCTAACAAGTTATAAGTAATTTAGAATCGTTTATGTAATACCTAAGTAGGAATTAGTATTTTAATTAAATTTATTGTGCTTATTTATTTAGTTATATAAAAGTTTACAACATTATACATTGTAGGTAGTTTTACGAGCAATGTACAATATTAATTAATTTACATATTTAGCTTTATATAATTGTTATTAATTTGTAGGTTCTGTGTCGCTTTATAAAAGCATTTCGGCAGTGTATAAAACACAGTTAGGTGTGTCTTTGTCATATTGTTTGCTAGGTTTAATTGTATTCCTGTATCAATTCCAGGTTGACAACACTCCTCTCCCAGTATGTCCGAGGAAAGGGATTTAATTAAAAAGCGCGGCAGCTTTAAGGGTCGCTTGACTGCTTTCGTCACCTTCCTGGACTCACTCAAGGACAAAGTATTAAGTAGTTGTGATGTGTCCGAGTTGCAGTTGCGCATGGGTAAGATGGAGTCATTGTACGAACAATATGATGAGGTGCAGTTGCGTCTGGAATGTATCGCCGACGATCTTAAGGTACAGAATTCCGAGCGTACCGAGTTCGAATCACTTTATTACAAAGCGTTGTCCAGAGCGCAAATCATTCTCAACGACAGTAACAAAGATGATAAGTCGATGGAAAGCTGTAAAAGTACACTTGCTAGCATACACAAACCGGTAAAACTACCAACGATACAATTACCAAAGTTTAGCGGTTCATATTGCAATTGGTTGGAATTTCGTGATACCTTCACTAGTCTAATTCATAGTAACGACGAAATTGATGAGGTTAACAAATTCCACTACCTAAGAGCCTCTCTTGAGGGACCTGCTGCCGTCATCATCAAGTCAATTGAGTTTTCTTCGAGCAATTACTCTGTGGCATGGAGTTTGTTACTTGATCGATTTGACAACAAACGATTATTAGCACAAAATCATGTGTCTACTTTGTATCACATTGATGCGGTTACAAAGGAATCGTCGGTTGCTCTCAAAGGATTAATCGATCAATTAAATAAGGACTTGCGAGCATTAGAGTCGTTAGGTGAGCCTGTAAAGCACTGGGGCACCTTTTTGATATACCACGTCACTCAAAAAATTGATCATAGGACCTATCGTGAATGGGAGGAGTTTAAGGGTAGGATTGACAAAGAAAGTTCGATTACGTTTGATATGTTCATGCAATTCCTACGCACTCGAGCCGATTTGATCGAGAACTTAGAACGCCTTCGAACAAATAATAATTCTCAAACGGCAGGTAGATCAAACCCTAAGATCAAGTCGATGTTGGTTAATCAACCTCAAAATAGTTCCAGCATCGAAACAGCTCCCACAGTATGTCCTAAATGTAACAGTAATCACACATTAAATAATTGTCCACAGTTTCTCGCATTAAGCGTTGATGCTCGTATTAAACTTCTACCTACTTATAAGATTTGTTTTAATTGTTTTCGTTCAGGTCACTTCGCTAACAAATGT